ATCGCTTCATCCGTGTTCCCGAAATCGTCGACGAAAATTTGTATCCGAACACACACACATACACGCACACACACACACATACATCAATTTATTTCTAAGGTATGCCAAAACATTCTGAAACCTTTGAAACGTAAAGATATATAAACATGTTTATTTTTGATTTTTTGCGATTACTATAACTTGCCCTACGGGAAATGAATAAATATAAATTAAAATCTATCTAATCTATCTAATAAGTAATACAGAAAAATATGGGCTTACCTTCTACATCGCCAAGCAGTTACAGGATCAATGTGCACGTTTTGTTCATAGAAATCATTACACTGCACTATTAAAAAAATCCCGGAAAATACTTCATTATGTTATATTATATTCAATATTCCACTTATATTAAACCGAACACTACTCAAAATGATTAGAAGAAACTTACAAGACGGCATTGAATAAAAACCACGCGTGTAATTGGCACTTCCGCACGAATTGTCTAATGATGGACTTTGATAATATAACAAATTACGAATCAACTGTTCATAACACAGGGTAACACCTTTATTATTGTCTATAAAACTTAAAAATTGTTGCTAATAAGTAAGTCCCTTATATGTGTTATTATATAATTAATGTCGAAACTAATTATTCGCAAACTATTATAATATTAAAGATGTGCACGATGCCGGAGATCAGCGCAGACTGATTGTTATAACTAAAATCGATATAGATTTTTGATCGAGCGACATCTACTAGGTAAAGGTATAAGTTTGGTAACAATTACCAGGTGAAGATTGGTAATGCCTCTGAAATAAAATTATGTCATATTTTTAAGTATAATACAAAGTAATGAACCAAATTTGTAGTATTTAGCTGATACTTCATAAAAGTGGTATATTTGAAATTATATATAGTATTAACTATAAACATATTTTAGTTTGATTTGTAATTAAATTAAAAAAAAAAATATCTAATTGTAACTTGCGCAAAAATTTTACTTAAAAATATGAATGCATATATTTTCATAATAATAAAAATTTGTGTTGGAATATGACTTTTACAACAGCTATTTTTTCTTATGTTTTCTTTTAATTTTTATTTAATAAACTTTTCAGTCGTTAATACTCTAATAAGCTTATTAAATAAATATTTAATAAATAAATTTTGAATAATAAGACAAATAGTAGAATTAAATTGTTAACCATAAGATAACTATGATTCATATAATAATTCATGAAAATACAGTAACAATAAAAAACAATACAAACAATATATACAATAAATTAACTTATAGTCACAATTGTAAAACAAAGTTAAATTTTAATTTTTATCGAGTTAATTCTTCTGAAAAGCTCATAAAGAAAAACAATTTTTTTAAATGTAGAAATAGTTTCAAATAATGATTTGAATGAAAACATTTTGTTAAATATTTCACATAAATATGTCTATATATGTAAATATAAATGCAGTATATTTACAATATAGAATTTAATAGCCTATATTAAACTGAAGGGATCAAACAAAAATATAACTAATGTATATTTTAACCAAGAAGTAGAATAAATTTGAAACTTCTATTAAATAAAAATATTTTACGCAATGCAACCCTGAGCTGTAAAAAAATTCACGTGGTACTTACTTGTTGCTGGTGCCAGCAAATACTCAGCAAAACTGCAAAATTCCTTTAAAATCTTTTGAATTTTAATTTCCTAAGACCATTTAAAATGTTGTCTATTTTTATTAATAGATAAATCAAACATACAAATTAACCTAGAATTATTTACAATGCTTAAAACACATTCATATTTTCGACACATACATGATTTGACGTGTTGTCTTTGAATATAATTAAATCGAATACAAAAAGCTTAATCATATACTTTGCAATATTTCTTATACATTACTGTGTGAATATGATCCAGAATTGAACAATTTATGATATGTTACTAAATATATATATTATTTAATATAGTTTTTCACATTGTACGATTTTGGTTTATAAAATGCATTTTTACACACAAATGCTGTTTTATAAATAATTCAAAAAGTGATATTTTGTAAGAGCTCTGCGTAAAATTTGGCACGATTCTAATCAGCCAAAATTTTTGCAGTCTCGGACATGTATTATATAGTGTATCTTCATTTTATTATAAGTATTATTTTGACACAAAAAATATGTTGATTTTATTTCTATATGGTAATATTTCTATGCAATTTGTTTAATATATTTATGTGTGGTATACATTGAAGACTTGTAATTAGTCTTATAGTTATATCTAGCGCAAATTAAATTTAAAAAATATTTTGAGAATACCTTTCATGTTTTTTGTATTTTTTCATGTACCATTTTCACCTTTTTATACATCTAATTTAGAACGAGATAGAAATACGAATCAACATTAGAAAGTATTTTTAATATCTAATATAATACAAAATTATATACTGTTGCATCTATATTATTACTTATTTTATACTAATAATACAAATTATAACTGCATTATAGTCTCTTAAATCTATGTATAAATATAAGTTGATTTACGAACTAATGCCAGAAGGTAAAAGTGATACGCGTTTAGTAAAACAATTTTTGCCGTTGGCATAAAATTTAATTTTCTTTGACTAATCAATGAGTTTTGGCACAGAATACCACTTAGGCTAATATTGGCATATGTGAATAAAATAAATAAAATTATATTTAGTATTTATTCGTAGATCCAGGGAATTGTGACTAAAAAATATCATTTCGAAAATATCGAATAAATAAATAATTGAATATAAAATCCGGTCTTAAATTCAAGAATAAATTAAATGAAAACCATAAATCAATCACTAATTTTAAATCTTATAGGATAAAGAAACTGAAGACAGCTTCCAAGTGATTGAAAAAAAAAGGACATACCATGGGGAAGTTATGCCGAAACGATAAGCTTTATTCCCTGATAGATATTTTAATAAAAAATCCAAAAGTGCTATAATGTGTATGTATAAGTTTATATTCGAATCAGACAGTTAATTAAGTGGCTAATGCTAATACTTTAGTCTACGCATCCATTAGATTACGCCAAATAAATTGGCGGTTCTTTGCGAGACGAAGCACTGATTGTCATGTGCCTTGAGTGGTTAAAGATGTAAAAACATTTTAAGATTTCCTAAAAATACTTATACTTTAAAATCTCAAATGAAAATCCACCAATGTTTACGCTCCCCCCGCTGCCACCAATCGTCATGAATAAATCTTTTTTAAAGTATTTTCAGAAAATCTTAAAATGCCTAATCTCTGGTCCAACAATTTTAAACAAACCATTAAAGTATTAAAAAATCAAAAAAATTACTCATTTAAATACAGTTTATGAAGAATGCAGTTTCGAGCTTAAAGCTATGAACAAATAGAAGTAGATGAAAAAGATTTATCCATTTTGTCATAACATTTTAAAATTTTATACAAGGGTATTTAAATAAATATAATATATTTTGCTACGCATTTTTCATTTGGTTTCTAAGTCATTGCTTGCGCTACACAAATTTATTTAAATTTTTACAAACACAATATTTGTAAAATTGAATGCGAAATATTAAAAAAAAAAACTGTTGAATTTTAATATTTTTTATGGGTTTACGAAATATGTATTTTCCTATATACAATTTGGCTATATACATTATGATATTGTAATATACAATATATAATTTGCATTTATACTTAAATATAAATACTTTAATTTAATATATTTCATAGTATTTGAATCCGTGGTCACGATATTAATATGCAATCCAGCTATATATTTCTATATTTATTAAATAAGGTTATATAAAATGATAAAACATTCTTGTTGAAAGGAAGAAAATATGTTGTAGCAATTGGTGGAAAAAAATAGAGAAATAATTTTGGTGCCGCAATAAAATTTTTATAGACATCAACAAAAAATGCTAATTTTCTATCAATTATTGAAGTATGCAATGGTAGTTTTAAAAGCAATTTATACGAAAATTGATGTAATTATATATTGAAGTAGGTTAAATTATATGTCATCAAGTTGAAAATATTTTTTTTTAAAACTCCAACAATTACCACAATATACCCGAGTTCCATTTCCAAACCAAATCAGAACAAATATGAAACTGTGCTTATTTGTATCCTTATTTTTAAGTTACTATCAACTAAAAATATTACATCCTATATATGTATTTATACGTTCCCTACATACTACGAATAAATTCATGTTTTTTCTTACATTCATCTAAGAGATATGATTATTCATCAAAATGCAATATTTCTTTATACAACGTTATCACAATATTTAAATATTTCCAAGACGGTTGTCTAACCAAACCAGAACCGTAAATTAAAAACATCTACGATTAATAGCCTCGCATTTATATTTTGAATTTTGAAATATACAATTATTTCTTAAAGGTACATACCAATATTTTGTCTTTACATTGTGTATTTACAAATTATATAAAAACGCCTAATATGTCGGCGCGTTAATATATAAGCAAATATTTTAGTATGGAAAAAGATTCTTTTATAAGGTATATAGTAGTTTGAGAAGGCTTTAATGGAAGAACATCAGAGTTTAGCATATGCGATTGTATAAAAACGACATATACTAATAAATATTTATAATTAGCGATGGTAATAGATCAAAACGTCAATGAATTTTCAAAATCAGAATACGACAAAAAATGTCGTTCCTATATGATTTTCCACCTCGAGGCGTTTTGATCAAAATCGCTCATTAATGAAGACATTTATAAAAAAACGAAATGAATATATTTATATGCAAAAATTACTTGAATTTGAAAATGCGCTGATATACAAAAATAGTATAATAAATACATATCAAGATTAATGATCATATTTTTTTACATTTCGTTCGTTTTTTATATCTCCCTGTTAGTCCAAGATTCTTATACAATGAAATACTTTTCAATACTTAATTTATGACTAGAGATTTGATTTTTGGTAAATAAAAATATACATAAGTAGTTGTCCTATAACGAGAAAATGTAGTGATTTTTTTAAACATATATTAAATCATTTCAGACTACTACAATTTTAAATCGATCACTAACGTGAAACATTATTGTGTATTTACATAATTCTAATCACCTACGTTTAGTAAGCTTTTGTGATACTTATAAATATGACAATAGTTACCGGGCCTGCCTAAAACTTCATCGAATAAATAAAATAATAAATAAATAAATTAAATCCGAAAATTTCAATACAAATCTCGATGTATTGGCACGGAGATGTTTATGGATTATATTAAATATCTAGATTTAATGGTTACTTATACTTTAATAACTCTCAGCTCTTCGTCATATGCTCAGTCGTAGTAAATTATATATTATTTTAGAAATTTACAAATATTATATCTATTTTTTATACGTACGGTTGTACGAACGTCCATTTCTTTCTAGAGGAGGAGGTCGCTATCAGGTTCGAACTAAAATTTGATAAATGAATCAAAAATAAAAAAAAAAATCTGATGCTTGATTCATTTGTAAACACTTTAGGATCAAAAACAAGATAGCAGAAATTTGGAAAGTAAAATACATAAAAAATGCGTAAAGAGGGGGCAAAATAGTGGTAATATGAATGATAAATGACAAAAGGTAAAGAAATCATTTCTTTGTGGGTACTCTCACACCATGGACCTGCTTTCGATAGACAACCACTTATTATTATTATTTATATACGTATTCAACTACAGCCAATACATCATTTAACATAAGCCAATATATTTATTAAATGCCTGTACGGATAATTGTAAATATTTTTATGTATTAAAAAAAATATTTATACGTATAATATATGACTTTTGTATTATTTTCTATCTACCTGTATTCGTCCTCCAAAGACGCATCCCGCCTCAGGCGTGTGTCGGCGCGTAGCCCAAATTTTTCCTTTGCAAGAACAGGTGTATCTCTGAAAAACGGGGCCTGTCTGCGGCAGATCTCTTCCAACATTCGGCCATCAAGTCGTACAACTCCCGTGGACATGTCGCAGGTCGAGGAGGTAATCTTTGCGTCCCCGAGGCGCGGTACCAACGACTGCTGTTTTCTACAACCTGAAAAAAAATTAGAGAATTCGAATTAGAATTATTTGGGGGTATTCTAGTGTAGAAATAAAATAAGCGATTTTTTTTATTTTTTTTATTTTCAAAGTTTAACTATCTAAGAATATGGGTACGAGAAGGCTTTTGAAAATTTGAATTATTTTCAGAGATATAGGCATTTTACTGACCCGGTCTCCATACTGGTTTGGCTTCACGCAAAACTTTAAATGCGTTTTTCTCAGAACAGACTTTTTCAGTACTGTTGACACGATTTCTCGAATTTTAATCGACCGTTTCACTAGAAATGTTCAGAGAATCTTGTTTTTACTATTTTTAAAAAGTTCGAGAAACTCAAAAAACATTAAAAAACACTTTTTTCTTCAAACAGTCGCCAATTAATTGTAGATTGTAGATTAATAATTTTTTATTTTTTGCATTTCCGATGGCTAGGAGGGCTAAAATCATGTCACGACTGAGGTGCTAATTTTTTGAGACCACCCACTTCATCAGCTGCCAGGTTTTACAAATTTCAACTTTTTTATTTTTTTATTTTTGTTTTGTATTTTAATAATATTAATAAACAAGTGGTAAAAAATGGATAGTAAAAACATTCATTGCTTTCTTTTACGACACTTTGAAAATGACCTAAAATTCATCGCTCTACACTAGAATACCCCCTTAAACATTATTTACAAATTTTAGTGTAATGATTATTTATTGTGCTACCTACTAATAGATGACGCTTGTATGAATGTTGGTATGAATGTTAGTGTAGATCAATTATATAAAGATTTCTATAGGTTAAAAATTATTACAGCATTTATATCTTATGAATCAAACATTAAGATTTATTGCAAAGTTAATATTTCTATTAAAAAATAAATGACTGCTCATTTGCCTTTAAAATGTGATAATACTGCATGAAACCCCTACACCTCTACGTTTTTCAAATTATCACGATACTAATCCTTAAAGTCCCTTTGAAAGTCTACTTATGAAGGTTTTATATCCCTTCTATACCGTTCCACAAGTAAACTTTTTAGGTAAAAGGTCAATTAATCAACTAACCTGCTCATTAGTAAGTTCTGATAAAGGCCTTTGAGCACACAACGTCAGCAATTCCCACAAAGTCACTGCGAATGACCACACGTCGCTTTTTGGAGTTTGTTTCCCCTGGAAAAAAAATATTTACAGGATTATTAATTGAATTTTTTTGCTGTTTGTCAAAATACCTACCAATAGCAGTGCTTCCCAAGCCATCCACCGAATGGGTAACTTTGCTTTAGTATCACTACGATAATAATCACCTTCGTATTTATCACAATACATAGCATGATCTGACACTTTTACAGCCAAATCTTTGCCAACCACGCAATTCCTGAAAATATTTATAAACCAGAAAAATAATATTAATAACAACCCCCATTTACTGTATTACATTAAATCAATGTTTTAATAAAATTGCTGTAACTTCTTTATATATATTCTCTATTTGCCCAGATGCAAAATCAGAAAGTCCCAAAGCGAGTTTGCGACATTGCTTTAGTTTAAGTTATTTTTCCTACAGAAACTTTTGCGAAACCTTACGAAGACATCGTTATAAGTTTTTTGTAGTTGCATCATTAGCAATCATAATAACAACACGACAAGAAAAAATAATTCACATGCAAAGATATTTTATAACGAACTAACTTTTGGTACAGTTCATGAAAATACGAGATGCTTGGAAAAGTTTCTGCAATGTTTAATTAAATAGCTTATGAGTAGGAATAGGTAAACGTTATGACTTATTATACTTGGTGAAAATATTTATAAATTAATTTTATATCTACTAACCTTGCAGCTAAATCTCGATGAACTAATTCTAGACTTTCGAGATATTTCATTCCTGAAGCTATTTGTGTCGCCATATAGATCAGGCACCCATAACTGAAAAAAATTTGACTATATTTTTTCCGACATATATGATTAAAAAAAATTGTATTACATCTAAATCAATATTTTTCAGAACACATTTTACAGTTTGGAATTTTTTAGCGTAAAAGTTCAAAACTGAATTTAAAATGATTATTCTTATAATTTAAATTATATAAATAATAATAACTTTTAAAACTGTTAAAATAATATAAAAGGTACTTTATTACTACGTACCATGAAATTTCCCAAATCCTACAATATTTCAAAACTTAAATTTTATTCGCAGTATTAATTGCACTAGTAAATTAGGCAGTGCTACTGCGAATATTATTGATTATCGTCATTGTTTAAACGAGCATAAAATTGAAAACAAATACCAATTATCAATATTTGCAACATCGTAAAATTTTTAATCGGTTTATAAACTCCAACATATTTTTTATTTTAATCTGCCTGATAGTTGTTTAAAATATCCATCCGCAATGAAAGGAATTGAATACCCTGCCAGATTGTGCTTTTTCAAAAATGCATAATTCGATTTTGATGAAACTTGACATATATTGTTACTACACTTTACTTAATATTTGAACAAAATTTAAAGTTGAAACAGTCAATAGTTTTTGAGATATGCAAGGTTGATGGGTGGTTGGCTCCGCTCTCAATACTAGTATTGAAACAGATTGTACGTTTTCAAAAATGTATAATTCGATTTTGATGAATTGACATACACTGTTACTACACTTTACTAAATATTCGACAAAAATTTAAAGTTGGTACTTTCAATAGTTTTCGGAATATGCGAAATCGATGGATGGGTGGCTCCGAGCTCAATACTATTTAAACAGATTGTATGTACTCATGGACTTATATATCCATAATATATACTCAGGGGTATTTTTTGCTCTATCTAAGCGACTTTGCGTTTCTTCATGAGCCAAACGCGATCTCCATTTCCAGCTAAATTATTATTTCATAAACCTCAAAGTTAATTAAAAAAACATTTACGTTGAAATAGTTCCATAATCTGAGGTAAAGAGCGTTTTTTATTTCCCAGAAAGAGATTTTAACGTAATCTCGAATAAACCACCATACAGCATTTTTAAAACCGCACACGGACCTCCCTCATACAGAATTTGTACATCTGAACTAATCCTCGGTATATGGTTTAAATAAAACATATATATCCTATCTAGTAATCTCTCCCAGAACAAAGTTGAATGATTCGAACAAACGAAATGGATGGAGCATTAATTTTTTCTATTTTTTAAAATGCGATAAATATTATTTTTAATCCCTTTGTTTGTTAACGGATTATTATTACTTTGAATGTATAAGTTGTTATAATAAAATGCTGTAAATATTGCAAGTATTTATGGTTTTATATCAGATTGTATTCAAATACAATTTTGTTCGTATTGTGCAGCATATGGATTTTTGTGATGGAGTGAGTTACCGATATTATTTATGTCTTTTATCATATGGATATAAAAATACAAATCAATTAAATTTATACTTGAAATAATAATTTAATATTACTAAAACAGCATACTAAATTTTGATGAATGAATAAAAAATATTTTTGCCGGTATATATTCAGAACAGAATATGTACTACTTATTTTACATTTGTACTAGGTCAGCAAACCTCAAAATTCAATCGAAAATATTTATGAGTGACATTTGCAATTGCTTAGTTACCTGCCTAATTTACTATTGAAATATAAGATATAATTTTAGGATTTATTTTTACTTGGGTTGTTTTTAAATCAGCAATCACTATAAAATGTTAGAAATTAGCTATTCATTATAAAATTATTTTCGTCTATAGAACTCGATATAAAAATGTAATTATTACCATCCTATCTAAACCCTTAATAATAATTACAAAATTTGATTTTATCAACCCAATATAATTTCATATAGAATAAAAAATACTTCAGCCAGAAACGGATGATTCACTGTATAGTGGCATATAATGAATGGATTTACTTAAAGTATAATTTAAAAAAAATCAATATGATTCAACCCTCATCAGCGTATTTTCATTAAAAATAGATAATATACCAAAGTATGAACAATTAATATCATGGCAATGAACTATAAAAAATGTGTTTGTAAAAATAAGTTTTAATAGTGCCTCTTAAAGAATTGAACTATCTGTAGTTTCATAATTATTATTTTTTAATTAATTTTTATTTACAGCTAAGCATTGAAAATAATATTATGTAGAACATTATAAAATTTTATAAAGTACAAATTGATCTGAAAATCCATTTTACAGATATTTACTTTTACTACGTCATTTACTACATCATTCAATATTAGTTTTTGGTCCAGTATCAGCGTTCGAGGAACGAAAGTAACGCATAAAATATTTCGCATAGCCCGATACACTCGCCATTGGCAGATAAATCTAAATAAAGAATATTTTATTTCCACATATATACTCATAATGGTTTTTCCCGGGAATTATATGATTTTTTTACACAGTACACTACAAACACGACGAACGGCCGCGGATTGGAATTGCGAACCGAGAGTTGTTGATTTATAACGATTCATTTTATGGGAAAGAAATCATAAAAAAATATTGGCGATTCCCAACTTTGTGTGCACACTACGTATCGGATGTAATTACTATTTTTATATTTGTAAGTTTCTTTTTTTATTGTATGAATTCGTTTATTTGAAAATGTATAAATATCAAGAGATAACTAATCAAATAAAGAGGAGTGTAATTCCGATTCTGTTATTTATTTTAAAACGTAACACACACATGGATAAACACAATTATATAATATATATAATTATATATATATATATATATATATATATATATTATACATATATTTATTTTATTATTTATATACGAGTCATGAAATTACTGACAATACTCATCCGAAACGGTTTGACCGATTTTTATGAATATTTTGTAATTTGACATCTATTTTTCATATGCCTAAGTGGTAAGGGCTTGCTACTCTTAAGACTTGTTTTCATTTTTTGGACTTCTATACTAATTTTCTAATTCTAGAAAATTACTTGAATTACTTGAAGCTCTGAAAATTACTTGAAGCCCTGAATTTCCAACCTCCTGCTCAAATCCCTATTTTATAATATGTTTTTTTGTTCAACTAGCTATCGTAACATAGAAACATATGAATTAAAATAATTATTAAATTTATAGGAGTAATGCACAATCATATAAGAAATTGTATTGTGGAAGTCTATGTTGATAACAAGTTGCGAAATCAATCGTAAGCTGCGAAATAAATCGCAAATGGGAAATCGATAACAAGTCGCGAAATCGATAATAAGTCGCAAAACAGATAACAAATCGCAAAATCGATAATAAGTCGCAAAATCGGTAGCAAATCTCGAAATCGGTAACAAATCGCGAAATCGATAATATGTCGCAAAATCGAAAACAAATCGGGAAATCGATAAGAGGTCGCAAAATCGAAAACAAATCGCGAAATCGATAATAAGTTGCGAAATCGATAACAAGTCGCGAAATCGATAATAAGTCGCGAAATCGATAATAAGTCGCGGAATCGAAAACAAGTCGCGAAATCGATAATAAGTCGCAAAATCAATAACAAATCGCAAAATCGATAATAAGTCGCAAAATCGATAACAAATCGCGAAATCGAAAACAAGTCACAAAATAAATAATAAGTCGCGAAATCGATAACAATTTTCTCCGTAAACACTGTGTACTGCGAGCGTCGGCAGTAACCTGGAATCTACAAGCATTCCTTCGGCGCTGTGACACCTATGTATAATCAATGTGGACTTCAAATTGCTACCGCCGCCCGGTGTTTACTGGGTCCTCTTCAAATCCCTATTTTATAATATGTTTTTTGTTCATCTAGCTTGCTGTAACTAATCAATTATTAACTTTTTAAACATTTATCACAAAAATTCGATCAAGATTTTCCTGAGCCCATGAAAAAGCTTAAATTTATCCGCTCTATCCGCTCTATCCGCTCTAATATTTTTAAAACGATCCTTAGATATTGGGGACATAAAGGATATCATCGATGAAATCAGATTCGTCAAAATATCGATTGATTATTACATAATTACTGATTCGCGGATTCTCTTATTGTACAATTATTTCCCGAAGTGCACACATAGAACATATTTCATAAATGGCTTGTTGGAAAAGCAATTGATATTAAAATAGAAAACTAGGTAGTAGGTACCTAGTTTTGATATTTCAATAGATTCGCTAAACATGCCACAGCATAATTGAAAATTGTATGTTTTGAATTTAACGAAAATTCCCTTGAACCCCTAAATACGCCAATTTGATTTAAATGAAATCAGTATCAGCTATCAGATAGCTGTAGATGGGGTGGCTGATTCGTATCGGGCATGTTTTTTTTTCTTCTTAAAGTATTGTGTGCGTAACAACATATGTAATAAAATATCAATAAATATATCTTATTCAATTAGTACTTAGTGACAAATCATTAGTGTGGCAAGAACTCGGAGAGACTTAATATGCTCATGCAACCCCATTCAGCTATTTTTTTATAATAAATGTCGCATATAGCATTTTTTTATGAAAGAGTATAGCGTATTCATATTTTTACTAATTGATTGTGACAAAATTGTAATATCTTTAGTGAGTTTAGTCTACTCTAATAGTATAAATCGCATATATTGTATCTACAGAAAGAATATGATTTTAATAATTTACCTTAAAGTTGAACTTTCCGCTTTGGCGGTTTGAGATCGGAGATACTCGGGCAGATCGCCGAGTTCGGAATGCTCCAGCAAGAGACAGGGCGGCTCGTCACCGCAGAGACCGACGACTCGGGCCAAATGCGGGTCCCGCACTCCGGCCAACCATGTGCACTCGCGTATAAACTCTTGCCTGAAACGATACAAAAATGATATAGGTCAGAGGTGGAATTTGAAACACAAACAGTACTAGAGTACTGGTATATTTTATATATGTTTATGCTCGGTTTTATTAAATTTATGGAAGTTTTTTCTTTGTTTCAGATAATAGAATGAGGAAAATAGGAAAATACTATAAGAATGTCGGTAGTATGACGCAAGATAATAAGTTTATAATTTGATTTTAAAATTAAATATTTTTATTTATAGATGATTGAATTCAATCAAAATTTTCTATCAAAAAACTGCATAATGATGATGACTATATCAATACATATAATTTCTATCCTTTGATTTTATTATATCAAATTGTGGTTTATACGCACTGGTTGTAAATAAGTAAAGCCTTTGCAAAGAAATTTTATAGTTTTTGAATTTACATTATGTTTTATGATTACTTACTTAGTTTGCTCTGAAGTATTCCTCCAAAGAGCTTTCACTATAACCAGCTGTTTCCTGTGCAGCGTGGAGGCCGAGTTGCCAAAATCCGACACGCCTTCTGTTTCACAAAGATGGACCTGAAATAAATGAAAAATGATTTTTTAGATTTTATTAAACATTCATTTGCCACATTTACCACTTCAACATCTTTCAATTATTCAATTTATTTATTTACAGATCAAGGTTATAAACATTGAAATCTTTGTAAACTTTGTTAGAATACTATTAGAAAATTTGTCGGTTAAAAAACGTAACTATTATTTTGCAAAATAATTATGATAAAAAAATCGACCTTGGATCTGTTTTTAAATACCTATAACAAAAGTATTTTCATGCATTTTTATTTTGATTGCAATCACTGGTGCTTAGTTTTCCAAACCTTAATATAATCTTGAAGTATACGTTATATAATTGATTGATGCTTATATTACTTATGGCAAAAAATATTATATCTTCCGACTGTGAGTGTTTATTACAGGAGTGTTGTTTGAATACTATTTTCTGTCATGTTCAAATGATATTTTTGTCAGGAAAAGTCCGAATGATATCCAACCTCCACATGTATCAAAAGTAGTACCTATACGAATCTCTGCGAAACAATGACAAACAGTGAACCCATTGTTTGATTTAATCTTTTAATGCCATCAAAAGACTCCAAACTAAGCCAGACGTATATTTGAAAAGACAGCTTTGTTATAATATAGCGCACGGGGTATATTCTCTATCCAGTTTGTAGGTTTATTTACTCTGGTACTTATTGCTTTTTATTTTCACGGAAGGGCGGTGAAAATATGACAAAAAATGTGCTATGCGATATCTTCAGACAAAGGTGAAAGTGATGTATGAAAAAGATACCGCGGGTCATTGAACTTGTAAAAAAGAGTATGAGAGTTTCTGATGTCTTTTGTAACTCCGACATTGTTTTCTGGGAGAAATAATGTTCGGAAAATTTGGAATGGTTTATACAAAAGTTCGAAGACATAATAAAAACATTATCCCTCGAATGTGTTCTTAGGAATATATAAATCCGTTGGAAATATGGTAATACCTTGAAATAATAATCGACGTCTTCTGTGAATGTAAATAAAAGTTCATACAATTATGGTAGAGAATATAACAGTTGAGAAAAATAAAGTGATTTTCAAAAATTATTATAAAATAGATAAATATTCGTACTTTGATCCCAGAAACATGAAATAAAGTAATTTGAGAATTTGCAAAATTATGATATAGAGTAATGGAGATACCAAAGATCAGGCATCCCAGTAAAAATGTCTAAATTCGCTTTGTTTCTATTACTCTGAAAATAGTTACTGCATTAAAAAATTACTGGTGAAAAACATATATTATTGAAGTACTTTAACTAACATTCAAACAAATGATTTCAAACTTTGAAGCCAAGCTTTGCAAAATAGTGAAAATTGATTTAACCTCATATTCACTGAGAAGACAGAATTATGATTGTATATAAATCAATTTATATATTAACACATGGTGAAATATTGGTGAAAGTAGTTGTTTCAATACGTATAAAGTTTACAAAAAAACATTTACTGGTAATTATTAATTGAATAGAGGTATCTTACCGTGCCGAAGGCTCCTTCTCCCAATTTCTTCAGCGCCCTCAACCTTCTCCTTGGAAAGTCTAATAGCCTGGCTACACCCTCCAGGGGTGGACCATCTGGTAATTTGATAGTCGTAAATCTGCCGGGTGTGAAATGCTGCTCCCGCCTTTCGGTCTATAAAAAAACAAAGGACAAGGAAATAAACTTTCTGGTTCTCTAATAAGAATTTATCGAATTATATCTAAATAGTCCATAAACGTAAAAAAGTTGAATTTCCAAAAACAATTAATCAAAGAGGAAGGAGACAATTTGTGCAGCACTCACAACAAATGGATTTCCGTAGAACAACGATAAAAGGTGAGTTTATAGTACAATATAAGGAAAATATATTTCAAGTGCTGAAATCGTTTAAGTACACTTTTATTCTTCTTTTCTCGAACTCCGGCGTAATAAAACGAAATTACTACGCCAAATATATTTCCGACGGTGAAATAAATAATTGAAAAAAGACAATACGAAAACAATCGAATTGGCGCGGCCCTTGGTCCTTCGCTTTCCTCCTGTCTTTTGAAGTCAAAGGGAATGAAAAAATGTTTAATTTCTCAAGGTATATACTTTTTCCTTAATTTGACGAAATTAGCAAACGGAATTTCCGGAGATCAGAGGGAAATGTTTTGATGATTAAGATATCTATATTGTACTTTTCTTTTATACTCAAAAAACAACTTCTTTGTTTCTTATTACGAATGTTTCTGTGAAGCTATGGATTACGTTTTTTAATATAAAACACGACGTGTTTAAGATAATTTTGAGAGCAATTAAAGTCAAACATAATTATTCCATTGATCTGATACAAGTTCAATTAATTAAAACAGACATTTTCAAACAACAATATTACATTACACAAAAATGCCGATACTTAAAATACACATCAAATATATATTTATATACAGTTTTTTCTGGAACATTGTCTGGAGATTTACTTTTACGTATCTGATGATAACAAATGAAATGTATTTACAAACCGTTTATCCGTTAATAAAACAAAGTTTTAATACTTTCCATCAGGCGAGAGACACGTTGAGCAAACATTAATGTCTGATTGAAAATAAAACTTTGTAGGGGTTAATCTTATATGTAATAAAAACTTTATATTCGAAAAAATAACAAAATAGAAGAATATTATTATAATTAGGTAAATATTATCTCTTGTATCTTAAATAAATATCTGATATAGCATTAGTGAATATTACAATAGAAAAACACTATATCAGATTGTTAGTATTTTTAATCACTATTGCAATTTTAATCAAAAGTTATATTATATGCGTGTATACTCATTCTTAGACAAGTGAACTAAAAATGCTATTGTTTAAACTTTTTGTAATAACAAATTAAATTTAATTCCCATAGTTCAATTTTGGGTATCAAATAACACTAATTTTAGTTTTGCAAAAACAGTTTTAAAACTTTTTTCAATAAATAGAATATTATAGATAAATCAATTACCATACCTTTACTATATCAGTAGCAGCATAGTAATTTTCAGTTTGACCATTAGTTGATATTCCATTTTTTTCACTTTTCATCGTTCCCGTCTTGCTAGGAGTAAATGTACTATTAGAATCATATGCAGGAGGCGGTCTGGCACCTGCAGGAGGCGGTGGAGGCGGCAGATGGTAGAATTTTACTTCATCGCGATATCCATTTGTTCCCGTAGAATATTCTGAAAAAATAAAAGAAATAATATAGATATAATAATAATATCATAACATAGTAACATATGAATTAAAATAATTGTTAAATTTATAGGAGTAATGCACAATCATGCGAGATATTGCTTTGTGAAAGTCTATGTCTGTAAATTATTTTTGTTCAATTTGTTTTAATTAAAATATTCAGAATATCATTTAACTAGTGGTGCATGACATCGTGACTTAAGACAAATTGCTAGAACTTCCCGTACCAAAAAATACACTTTTTAAACAAGATTCAATTTTCTTTTAAAACTGAAAAAAAATCAATTTTCGAGATTTTTAAATTTTTTATTTTTTTTTTTGTTTAAATAACTGACCTTTTTGAAAAAAATGTTTTTTTATACTTCGAAATACTTTGAAAATTTTGAACTTTTTTTCAAAGCAATAGCGATACGTTAGCTGAAAAGCAGGCAGAAAATTAATGATACAAAAAACAGCAAAATTAATTATCGAAAATTTCAAGCCCTGTAATAAATTTATTCGAGTAGCAATTGCACCAGATTTAGAACAAGTTGCGAAATCGATAACAAATCGGGGCATTTTTTGGTTTTTGTCAAATAACTCACAAATATCATATGAAAGCACCCTTTTTCGGTTCGATAGAGAGAAATTATATAAAAATTACTACGATTCCATGCCAATAGTTATATACACTCCGAAATAAATTTTTTAATAAAACGACTTTGAATTCGATTTTTCATTATTCTTTGGAAATAAATAGACAATTTGGGACATTTTTTTGGTTTTTGTCAAATAACTCACAAATATCATATGGAAGCACCCCTTTTCAGTTAGAGAGGGAGAAACTAGATAAAATTACTACAATTCCATGCCAACAGTTAAATACACTTCGAATAAAAGTTTGGAATAAAACGATTTTGAATTCGATCTTTCATATTCCTTAGCATTTAATAGAAAATGAAAGTACCCCTTTTCGGTTAGAGAGGGAAAAACTAGATAAAATTTACTACGATTTCATGCCATCAGTTATATACACTTCTATATAAAAGTTTGGAATAAAATGGTTTTGAATTTGATGTTTCATATTCTTTAGGATTTAATAGAAATTTCGGGACATTTTTTTGGTTATTGTCAAATAACTCACAAATATCGTATAAAAGCACCCCTTTTTAGTTATATAAGGAGAAACTAGTTAAACTTTTACTACGATTTCTAAATGAAAATTCTAATACTTTAACACTACGATATAAAAGTTTGGAATAAATCGACTTTGAATTCTATATTTCATTATTTTTTAGAAATAAATAGAAAATTCTGTACATTTTTTTGGTTTTTGTCAAATAACTCACAAAATATATAAAAGCACCCCTTTTCAGTTATATAGTGAGAAACTAAATAAAATTTACTACGATTCCATGCTAATAGTTTATATACACTCCGACATAAATTTTTTGAATAAAACCACTTTGAATTCGATCTTCATTATCCTTTGGAAATATTATAATTGAAAAAATAATTTTAGATAAATGTCGTTCTGCGACCAATCACAATGTTCGAAAATGACGTTTTTTCAAAAAGACGTATGTGTGTAGCGCTAATTGTGATTGGCTAATTAATTAATATTGTTCGTTTTTTTCGTTAAGTTTCGTCCCTTTTGCATTGTCTATAAATAGGGGGCGCGAAGAAGAAATTACTGGCAGTCGCCGGCCGAGGCCGGCGCCGGTGTCACCTCGGGTGACACTGAAAGCCCCCGGGGCGCTAGACCGGTCGCTCCCTTTGGAGCTGGACTGGACAGGAGCCTGGGGCCTCCGCGGAGACTCCCGGCCGCGGAGACTCCCG